TGACCAGTGAATTCTGCTGTGACCTGGAAATCAAAAATTTTCTGTTAGCTGCACTTTAAATACATTCTTCTTTCTGAAGCATGCCAATGAAAATGCTGTCCTGAGTACAAAACAGAGCAGTGTGCTCAGTCATTATTCAACCTACTTGACAACAGAAGCACTCAGCTTCTGTGAGCTGGAATGTATTAGAGGGGGAGAAAAAAAAACATTCCATGAATTACTCTTTTTTTAGCTGTAACACTGAAAACTCGGCTCTGTTACATTCTGTGGATAAAGCTGGTTTGCTTTGTGCCTTTTTCAGATTAATTTTCAATGCTGGTGCGTGAATAAGTCAGAGAAGCATTGACTCTTTTGGCCATAACAGTTAAGATAATATTTGCTATACTTCCAGCTTGTTTGTATTAGGAGTCAGAATTTCTTTGGTGTGAGGAATACACACATGGTTCTGTGTTCTGTAGCATGGCAGACGTGTCCATGAGCAATTTTCTTGTTTCAACTCCCTTTTTGATGAGTTATTGTAGTTAAATCAAGTTTTCTGCCTCAGCTTCTTCCTAAAGCGATAATCCCTGTTGCTTCTCTCTCTCTTTTCCTGTTTCATGCATCAATGTGTACAGCTGCCACCAGGCAAATTCTACCTGCTGTATTTGCATTCAGTCCCAGAGAAGTCCCTCTGTCTACAGGAATGGCGATAGTCCACCAAATGGCAAAACTGATCCAACACTTTGCTGAGACAGTCCTTCCCTGTCCCTCTTCCCCATCCCCCAGCTGCCTGATCCCGTATTTCCTTACTGTTCAGATAAGCACCAGAGTGAATACAAATAGGAGAAAGGCAAAGCCATTTAGATAAGGGAGAGCATAATGCCCTGCTGGCTCAAACCAAAGCTTGGGCTGACTCAGGAGACATTAGTTATGAGGAGCGTGCCAGCCTGGCCTGCTCTGTAGTCTGCTCAGGCCTAGCCCTAGTGCCTGACTGGCCTTATTATCTACTTAATTGCCTTGGGTGATGGCTTCCCATTTAGTCTGCAAGCAGAGGAATATTTAGGCAATTCTTCTGGTTTACTTTGTGAAATGAAGATACTTCACCCACGGACTTCAACCAGGCCTGTGACTGAGCTTTAATTCAAATGCAGGCTTGTCAGTGGCATTGTCACTGACTTTGAAGACTGATAACAGTTTCAGAGCAAATAAATTTTACTATTGCTTTCTTCATCCTACTTTTTTCTGACCTTGCAGGTCAATTCAAATGAACAACGATACAGGTAACTACAATTACTGCTCCCGCTTAGTTGCATAGGTGGGCAGTCTTATTTCATAATTAATCTGTTATTCCTGTTTATCATAAAGTTGATTAAGCTAAAGTAAAAGAAGGTGCCCTTATTCCAGAACAAAAATTTATGAATGTGGAGTTAGTCAGGAGCAGTTATTTTGGAATTTGCAAAAGCTATTTAGAAAGCTCTCCCAGTTTAAAAAAGATCTATATCTCCCAAAGTATATATTTCATGATTCAGAGTAATATATTTCCCCAACTACATTTAATTTCTTGCAATAGAGATTTTTGTGCAGATACTGATAAATTGAAGGCCACAGCACCAGCCTCTCAAGCAGGGAGAATTACTTTGTTAAAAATGAAATGCTGCTTTAAAATATTTTTTTTTTAATATATATTAGCATAGGTTAGAAATGTGTTCAGTGATAGATTTTTACAGGACTAAATTTTAGCTACAACCAGGTTATGCACTTAATCCACGTCTGTCCAATTTGCTACTGCTCTGGTTGTCAGCTCAGGCAATCCTTGAGTTTCTTCTAATTTATCAGCTACCAGGGAAGTTAAGAAGTGGGTATATCAGTCACTAGTTAGTGTCATGCTGCAACAGTCAAAATCTTGTTTATGGACAAAAAGGAAGCACACCTTGTGTATAATTAAAGCCAAGAATTTATTGTTAGTATAATTGGAATATTGAGAGTCTAACGATTATTGATGCAGATATAAGTTACGGAAAGAAAAAGAATAATAATGCAGTTAGAGTACCTCTATAAAATGGTATCACACATGCTTCTTGGCTTCTACCCCTCTTCTGCGTATTTCACTCACCCTTCCACTGCTCCTGTGAGTCATAAGGTTGGTGGTTTCATTCTGGGGTGTGTGTGGGGGGTGTGATATGGAGATTTGTCAGCATCTGGAGTCCTTTTCTGGGAGAATATGATCTTCATGTCGATGGTTTCTCCTTCCTTGCTCTAGGATCCACCTGGTGTCATTTTTATGTTTGCTAGCACACGTTTACACCTTTCTTCATCGGTCTGTAGTGCCACATTACATCAGATTTTATGGTATGTGGTGACTATTACATACGTCAGTTACTGGGTTTTTTTTGTTCTCTTTGTTACTCCTAAAATGGTTTCATCCACCTCCAGGTCAGCATTTGACTGATCACGGGTGAGTTGCTCACAGCCATCAGGTCTCTGGTGCTAAGCCTGTGCCTTGCCTGTGACCTTCACATGCCTGTACCCCCCTGCATACTTTGTGTCCCCACTGCTCAAGGCCTCTGCTATTGCACCAGGCCTGTATCTCCCTACACTGCATCCCTGTGCTAGTCATAAATCTCTCATTCCAAGTAGAAGTTTGTTACTGCTATTTATATAAAGTGATGGCTCTGCCACACACTGATAAACAGAAACGAAACAGATTAGCCATAGACCTGGTCAATTATGGAAACTGCTGTCACAGCTAACCAATTAAACGCTGCAGAAGGGTCGAGAGATGTTCAAAGCAAGCAAGCCTGACAAGCCTCAGTCCTGAGGCCTTGCAAATTCTGTACAAAGCTTATGGCAAATTACTGACAACGGCAATACTGTATTACAGAGATACATGGTTACAATGTTTTAGCCCCCAAAGCCATGAGCAGGTAAAAAGCAAGCTATACACACTACCAGATAATCCATCAGTTTTGAGCAGGTTTTTTAGAACTGGGTATGCTGGCATTTTTTTCTCTTTTGGGGTAGAAAACACAAGAATGAAAGAATTAGAGTCCCAGTTATCTGACTTTTTAAAACTAGAAGTTAGCTCGAAGTATATTGTATATTTTTACAGACAAAATTGCATTATGCAGTGAATGGTGGAAAACAAGGGTAAAATGGCAAGGACAGTCAAGCACTGAAATTGTCTGGTTCTTTCTTAAAAACCACTGATAAAAGAAAATCCACAGCCTCCGCAGGCAAACAAACATCTGCCAGGTTTATCTGATTGTTCTTCGAGCTAGATAATCTCTTGATGTCCCTTTCAGTCCTATTGCTCTCTATTACTAGTTTGTTCTTTTTACCTTAAATAAAAAATTCATTGTGCATTCTCAAAAGGGATTGCTTTTCTTAGCTCCTTCATCTTTTTGATAGACTCTGCATATGATATACTGATGTGTGTCTCCAGAAAGCCTCTAACTGGGTTTAGGTTCTGCAAAGCTTAAAAGTGGCCTTGTTTATTCCAGTCTGCTTTTTTTAAAAAAAAAAAAAAAAAAATCACATCATCATTTATTATATATAAAGAATTACGTATTTCACAATTACGTATTAAAATGATCACGAAAAAAAATGAAGCTCATGGTCCTTGGACTGCTATCACTTACTGTATTTATACAGTTGACATGCACATTATTACATTATTTCTTTTTCATCTAGAAAAATTACCCATGCCTGATTTTTCTAGTTGGTGTTTTGATATTAGTAAATTATCTTTGGCATCTTTTCTTCTCCAGTCACATCCAACCTGTTGTGGTCCTGACTTGACCTGGCACACTTTAATATCAATGGGCACAGTCCTATAATTCATCATTTCTTCCATAGCTGCATTGCTGAACCATGGTCTGGACAGAACATCTTGATACACAGAAGGGAGATCTCTAATCCAAAACATGTCCTTAACTCAAGGTAAACTAGAGGCAGCAAAATCTGTGTCTTTTTAATGCATAATCACTCCCAACAGTGCAGTTTTGAGTATTTTGTCAAGGTTTTGCCTCAGGATCTCAAGACTGGGACAGAGACATCACTCAGTCTCGCAGTACCATCTCTATTCCTTTCAGTAATTCTATTTTAACAATGGATCCCGCTTGTTTCTCCAGTCTGAACAATGAAGCTTGGCTGGTCTGATATTTTGCCAGTCCTATCCTGAGACCCACTGTATGCATACAGCTTTTGCAGTTCATATTAGTTCTCACCAAAGAGAAGGAAAACATAGGTAAGGTTGTTTCCTTGATGTAAAACTTAAGAGTCTGCCCCAACATATGCAGAGTTGCAGGCATATTTACAAGATGGACACAGCACTGAAAGAAGGGTACCAGAGACACTACAGATAAATGAGAGATTTGGACCAGAAGTGGCAGAAAGATAAACAAGAATTCCCTAAGTACAAAAAATTTGTGTGGATTCATCCTACTGTCTTCTGATAACCTGGATTTGATTATGCTGTTCTTTTATTTTGCTAGAGGTATAACGTGTTAGATAACAGAGGTTTCAGAAGAGCTTTCAGATGTGGAGAAAGAGGAGTGAGCTGTGATGTGTGGAGTGTTAGTACAAATTCCATGGGGCACATTAAAGCAGCATGACCTTTCCCAGAGACTGACTGAGGTGGAATCTGTTTGCCTGGCACTTTCTTGCAGAAAGGTTTTTGGCACATTTTGTTTTGGAAGCAGTGATGGTTAATTCTGATGTGAATAAGGAAGTAGTTAAAGTGAGACATCAGTGCAAGGCTATCATGATTTGTAGATTTGGGTCATTTTGGGGATATAATAGCTAACAACTTCCAAAGTGGTGCTGGACTTTTACTCTGTATATTCCTTTGTTGTAGGAGACATAAGAAAGATTTTACCTCGTTAATACTTGGATTGCCTTTGAAATATTCAGTATTCTTTCTCTCTCCTTCCCTCTCTCCCCCTCCAACATGTATTTTCAACTCTACAGGGAGAAAACCCCAAACAAACAATTGCTGCTAGAGAAGGGAGAGCTGAAGAATATGAATAAATTTCTGCATCTTTGCCCAGAAGCATTCTGCAATTCTGGGAAGATTTCAGGTATGTCACAGTTTTAGTCTGTAGTAAGTGAAATGCATTCCTATGGAAACCAGAAAGCACAGTTCTTCCAAAACAATTCAGACATAAATGTACGCTCATATCCCAGGCTGAATCTTCATGGGCTATATTCTGGAAGGCCAAATACCAAATTATTCTGCCCTGGTTAAAAACAGGCAAACTGCCAATTTGAAAGTTCAGAGAATGCATTAGCTTGTATATTTGACTTTATGCGGATCATTTGATCCACATAAATCTGAATCAAAATGAGACAACCAAAAAAACCGCACATGATTTCCCTGCTACAACCAAGGATTAAAATGGTCCATGAGGATGAAAAAATCGGCTGGATACTTAGTATTTTTATGGTAATGGTTTGGCTTTGGTCTTGTCTTGTCCAAACTGGTATGAGAACTCAAGTGAGAGGAAACGCTGATCACAGGAGGGTATCTCATAGCCAGCGCCTCACTCACAGCTGGAGGTGCACTGGTCAGCAGCAGAACCTCTAAAAGGGAAGGAGCAGACTCTGGGATGCCCTGACTCACTTGGCTGGTGTGTAATGTGATGGGGTACGTGGGGTTATTGCACAGCTCCAGCTGGAAGTCGAATGAGCAGTTAACGATCATGCAGTGTTTTGAAGATGTAGAATGTAATCTGTTGCCCAAAGTAGCACTTCAGGAATGGAAAATAATCTTCAGATTCTGGGCATTCACTGACCCCTCTGAGAACAGTTTTACGAATTAGAAGGCTAATGGAGGGAAGATTGTTTGTAGAGGCATTAGCTGCTGCAGAGCCATTCAGCAGCACCAGAAGGATCATTCTGCAAGTGCATTCAGTTCTGGAATAAAAGTCTACTTTGTGAAGGAATTCATCTTTAAAGGGCTGTCTGCCTAAGTGCTCTTCTGGAATAACTCTTGCGGAATAATGCAGTCTTCAAAAGCAGTGCCAGCCAGTTCCTCTGGATAGACAAAGCCTTGGGCACTCAGGATTAGGCTTTAGGTACTTGGATAAATCCCTTGATGTCTCAAATGAGGACGCTGCGAGCGCTCCTGTGATGAGCTGACAATGGTTAGGGGCTGTGGGTTTTGTTGGCTTCCCCGACCTGGCTAGCACTGACGACACCCACATGCGCTTTTAACCTCCCACGGGCGCAGGGTGGGGAAATTTTCACAAAGCACCTTGAAACAGGCTGAGATGCTGCTCCCATCCCTCCTGAACACCCCCCCCCCCCCCCCCCCCCCCGGCAGAGACCCCAAGGGGCAGCCAGCAACTCCCCCTGCCCTCAGGAGTGCGCTGACACCTCCTTTATGTGCAGTTCTGTACCGACTGTGCTACCAGAGGCAAGCAAAAACAGGGGATTGCTCACCAAACACTGTCTCCATGAAGACTGGAGAAGTCTTGTAGAAGCGTTCCCATCCTGAGAAGCACCTTTCCCATCCTTTTAAAACGGCAGATTAAGCCGTGTGTATGACTCAGCCTCATTTTCTTGTCCCGTGACTTCAGGCAAGTCACTTCTCTTCCAGCTTTCTGACACGTTTTGGCCGCCCAATCCAAAAATGCTGCGTGCCTCGTTTAGGAAGAGGTGTGTGGGGCACCCTGAAAAATTAAGGCTGAGCCGTGTGGGATTGAACGCCCTCCAACCCAACGCCACTCCGCGTTTTTAATTAAGCCTGTCTTTGCCAGCTGTAAAATAAGGGTAATACAACAGTCCTTAGAGATGGAAAATAGTGCAGTTAGATTTTAGAAGAGCGAGTAACGGATGACAGTAATCCAACTGTGTTTCAGCGCGGGGAGGGGGGGGGGGGGGGGGTGAGGAAAGGGGCAGCCTCCGCTGCTTCCAGGCGCCCGCGCGCCTTTCCCTCACGGCGGCAGCGGGCGCTGCAGCGCGAGGGGGCGCCTCGTTTTGGCGGGAGGGCAGCCTCTCCCCCTGTTGCCCCGCCCCCCCCCCTCCGGCGGGAAAAGCTCCGGGTCTCTTCCCTCAGGAGGAGGCGGGCGGGCGGGCAGAGCAGCCCGGGCGGGTTTGGGGAGCTCGGATCCCGGCGCGATTCCGTGGGGTACTGTAACTGCCACTCGCGGCCCCGCGCTCCCCTGAGGTGCTCGGGGGACGAGCTGCGTTTTAGTTACCGTTGTTGTGTTGGCGGGGAATTTGTGGTGCTCTACGGGGGAGGGAAGTTCTGCGGTGTCTCGCCAGTTGGGAACAGGAAATTACATTCCTTGAAGAGGCAGCTGGCGAGGAAAAGCCAAGTAAACCCGTGTGTTGATATATGATTAATCATTTATTTTTCTCTGAGACAATAGATGTGAAATTCCACCAGGGCATGCCTAGAGGCAGGCCCGATCGCCTCCTGCCCTTTGACGTGGGGCACAAACTCAGCTGCAGTCAAGTCAGCTGTGATGGCTCTGTCAGCTCAAAATCCACTCATCAAACCCAAAGCTTGATGTGCTGGGGCCGGGGCCCTGTCACACTGGCCGTCTGTGTCGAAAGGAGTGCAGCACGCAGGCTGCGCTCACATATCCTAATTAATAGCTCCCAGGGCAGTAACAGGAGGGTCAGGGCACCCAACGTGGCACAAAAGTGTTTGTGTTTCCTCACAGAGATCCTCGCTTCTTCATGGATTTGCTGTGTTGTCTCAGACTTTCACCCTTTTATCCGGTTCATTGCAGACAGCAGTGGCTGAAATCCTCTGGCCCTTTGGTGCGCCAACGCAGCAGCGACAGGAGGACCCTCCACTAAACAGGAGGATTTTATTCATCCCTAGAGCTTTTAGTAGGCTGTGGTATAATTTCTCAGTTTTCCCTCGTAGCCTGCAGGAAGGCACAGGTCTGGGTTTACCTCATTTTTCTGCTGGGAGATGCCAATTGCCTAAATACAGGAAGTAGGAAAGCCATGACCTGTTCAGCCGTGCTTGGAGGAATGCAGGATTATGTGCGTTTTGGGAGGATATTTTTAATGGAGAAAAGGAATTGTAATATGATTGCAATGCCTTTTGCATTACCTGTTTTTCTTCCTTCAGTATTTGAAGATAAGGGGTTGTTAAAATCTATTCAAGTATTTTTTAATTAATGTTTTACTGTGCTTTTTTTTCTGATACAAGGCATAATGTAAAGGCATGATTTCTCACTCCATAATTGCCAAGATTCTGAAACAGAAATGACATATATCCTGACACTATCAGAAACAACTGATTTTATAGGAATATTTTGATTAACTACTAACAGAAGTGACTCTATTGTATTTTTCACTACAAAACCCAAATAAAGTAATTCTAAAATTATAATATTTTCTTTCTCACTTCTCCCATCCTCTCTATACACAAGATTCTTGCAAGGAAATTAGGCAGACCTTAACTATCCACTTAGAAGCTGAAAAAAGCTATTTGCAGATATGTAGTCTAAATTATTTCATTCTCTGCTAGATGTAGCCCATCTTTGTAGTTTCATAATAAACCTGTCTTACCTTTCATGGATTTTATTAACAAGGATGAGCAAACAAAAATATATACACATCTGGATGAGTCAGTTTACAAAACTTTTGATCAGCCATAGCTAGAACAATGAAAGCAAGCTCACGATTAAGACAGAAGCAACCTATCCATTTACAAAACCACAAAAATGATACAGCAGGTTATAAGATCATATTTATAAAGAGCTACTTTGTATTAATTTTTCTTGCATTCTTAACATTTAAGGAGGTTCTATTTTGCTTTTTACTTAACCATGCTATCAGTAAGTGCCTATTCTGGTTCTAGGCTCTAGGTATTCTGAACTCCAGCAAGAACTTGAAAACAAATACAGTTTTATAGTCTACTCTTAAGATATGTGACTATGGAGTTGCAGCCTTCTCAATAGCACTGTTTTGTGGGCTTCCTGTCACATAAGGATGGGGAAGCTGAGATGTTGCATAGTCTTTCCATTACCCATTCCATCTGCAACTATGCTGACTTTTGTTATAAAAATACAGACTGCCTTCAACTTTCTTACCAGAATAAATTCCTCTTATGATAAATCATTTTAAATGTTTGCACCTCCAAACTCATCTCTGACCCAAGATTCTCACAAGGGAATGAAATCTCTTCCTAATACCTGTTAAACCCTTTCTAGCCAAACTGGTTCATCTGAGAGTAATGCAATAGATTTTCTCCTTTTGGTCTAGTAGGTCAGATAATGAAGAGTTGGAAGCAGAATCTGAGTTTGAATCCATATGTGGTGGCATACTGAGAAGGTTTTGCAGTTCAAGGACTTTGTAAAATTGCTCTTACAGACATTTACTCATTTATTGCCACGCCAATACTATCTTTGTTTCCATTTCCCAATAGTGATCAATACTTTATTTCCTGCTCTTTCATGATGAAGGCCATGGAGGATCAAGTAGTCCAAGAAGAACCACGATACCATGACGATGAGGTAAATTTATGGTTGATTGAAAAATATGTGCAGCAAATGTTTGAAGGCATTTTGATAGTGTTATGAAATCTACGGAGAGACAGGAAGCCCCCAAAGACCATCAGGGAGTTCAATGCATTTAAAATGTTGTTCCATCTTAATACCAATAAAATCTCATTCTCCTGGTCCCTGTACAGCCTTGCTCTTCAAGTACTCTTCATAAACCTCTCAAAAGCTATGCATAGTTTTTAATAGGATTATCATTGTTTCTTTATATTTTATACTTCTATATTAAATGCAAGGGGACTGTCAGTTAATTTTATGCTTCCAAGGAATGGTCATCAGCCTGAAAAGACTCAGAAACTGTGTGTTGGGGGGTTTTGGTAGTGGGGGAGGGGGGCTACAGTAGTGGCTCCTGTAAGAAGCTCCCCCAGCTCCAAGTCAGACGAGCCAATTAGTGACTGTGGCTACACTGCTGTGATAACATATTGAAGAAGGGGAACCTGAGAGGAAGAGGAGTGGTGGCAAAAATACCTATGCAAACACCGAGGTCAGCTGAAGAAAGGAGGAGGAGGGGGAGAGGTGTGCCGGAGCAGAGACTCCCCCGCAGCCCGTGGTGAGAGGACAGGCTGTCCCCCTGCAGCCCGTGGGGGGCCATGGTGGAGCAGATGCCCACCTGTGGCCCACGGGGGACCCCACGCCAGAGCAGGTGGCTGCACCCAAAGAAGGCTGGGACTCTTGAGGGAAGCCTGCGCTGGGATAATTTGACCCTGAGAGGATTGCCATGCGTGGGAGGGACCCACGCTGGAGCAGTTTGGGAAGAGCTGCAGCCCATGGGAGGGACTCATGTTGGAGAAGTTTGTGGAGGACTGTCTCCCATGAGAGGTACCCCACGCTGGAGCCAGGGTGGAGTATGAGGAGCCCTCCTCCTGTGGAGGAAGGAGTGGCAGAAAAAACTGATCACAATCCCCATCCCCTGCGCTGCTGTAGGGGAGGAGGTAGAAAAATTGGGAGCAAAGCTGAGCCCAGGAAGAAGGGAGGGGTGGGGGAAGGTGTGTTTTTTTTTTAAGATGTGGTTGTATTTCTCACTGTCCTACTCTGATTGGCAAATTAGTGGTGGTGGTGTTTGAGTTAAATTGATGTTCCTTTTTTCTTCCCCTAAGGAGTCTGTCTTTTGCCCCTGACCATAACTGGTGAGTCATCCCTCCCTGTCCTTGTCTTGATCTGGAGACTTTTATTTTATTTTGTCCTCCCCATGCCTGAGGGGGAAAGAGTGAGCAAGCGGCTGCATGGTGCTCAGTTGCCCTCTGGGCTTAAACTATGACAGACTGTGGCAGAAAAAATCAAGACGATGATGATAACTCAAGTTCTATTAGCAAAGCAGAGGATCGCTGGCCTGTGAAGGTACCCTTTGTGAAGAAGGTGGTAGGAAATGTGTGGCCCTTCTTGGCTCACTATGGCTTTGCTTACTTGGGTAGTCCAACAAGTTACGTATTATTAGGGAAAATCATTTAAATGTTTACAAATTTGAAACAGACACAGTGGGATAGATGTAATTACAAGAAAAAGCAAAGTCTGTTTTTATCTTTTTCTGCTATTTTTTGTAGGAATCCTTTTTTCAGGATATTGATCTGCTACAGAAGCATGGAATTGTAAGTATTAGAAGTTACTCTACCACATGGAATTGTCCATGTAAAGCTATTGGAAGGTTATTTCCAAAAGCGTACACACATTGATACAAGTAACTGAAATTCCTCCCTGCAATAAATTCTAAATCATTCATGGGAAGACAAATTTTGCTTCTGGTGATCAGACAGGTTTTCAGAAAATCTCATTCCCATCAGATTTCTAAATAAAGTGGCAAGATATTCAAAGTATTTAGCACCCAGCACTCTTGAAAAACCAACTACTTGCTAATTTATTTGAAAACTGTGATAGATTACTTCCTGTTCCTGCCAATCTTTGTAATTACTCCTGCATTTTTGGTGCCTGTGAAATTACACTGTGACAATTGTTGCTATACTATTTTCAGCATGCTGGTGAAGGGGTAGAGTGGGAGTGAGGAAGATATTAGTAGCTAGAGAAATAAGTGGTTAGTTTTCTTCAGCAAATATGAATTCCTATAATTGTTATCATCATCATTATCATATAAACATCAACTATTTATTTGAATTACTATTATTATATGTTTATCCAGGAGACTGGATCATGGACTGGAACCCTATTACATTCAGTGCTATAGAAGCAGAATAAAAAGTTGTGTTTGCCTGGAGTAATGTAAGATTTAACTCCAAGAAAAACGACGACAGGCAGATACTGACAGGGAGGACACAGACACAATGAGACAGCATTAGCACTATAGTTACAGGGCTCAGCACATCAGCAGTGTAATTGTTGTCAACTTTTTTTATTGGCAGTTCACTGACAGTTTTAAAGAGAGTTCTGAAGAAGAATCATGAGGTTGAGCTCTAACTATGGGGCAACATAAGAAAAATACAGAAATTCTTGTGTTAAAAATTTATCAAGTTGACCAAAGAGGCTGACCTCATGAGCTAGAAGGGAGCTGTACTAGCCTGTCAATATTAAGCGAGGCATGGTATGCAGAGAATTATACTAAGGTATGGATGGTCTCGAAAATAAAGAATTACGACTTAGGCTGTTCTGGCTTAATAAAGGTTTCCTGCTCCTTTTTGCCTTTTTTTTTTTTTTTTCTTTAATTCTTCCTTCCAAGTGGTTATTCCCACACCCAAGAGGAAGTTTTTGTTCTCAGATGTGCCAGTTTGTGTGAACATATGATGACCCATATCTGTTAAATTAATTCGCTGAAAGAAAGTGTTTTTATGGGTTTAGAATTTTTTTCCTAGGAGAGAGAAATATTTGCCAGAGCTGACAATGTGGCCACAAAGAGAGTCAGATTAGCACAACCAAGTCTGTGGTTTGATGTTCAGAAGTGTTTGGTAGGAATTAAAGGTGCTGCTTCCCCGCAGCCTTTGCTGAGTGTTCCTGCCCCTAGAGCATGCTACCCCATCTTCCAGCACATCGGCTTTTGCAGCCACCCTGGGAACTGGATTTGTGAATCAATTTGTCCAAAAGTTATCACAACAAAAAATGTGGTTTAGGGTTTGTTTTTTTTTTTTTTGTTTATTTGTAAATTCTGTCTGCTGCCTTTTCCACCTCAGAGGCACACAGCTGGGGTGTGGCTGCAACATGAGGTGGAGCACCAGGACAAGCAGCGGGTGTGAGGGGGCAGGCGTGTAGGTATGTTAAGCCAGGAGTATTGAAGGCCAGCCTGAGGAGGTGTATATCCTAGGGCCTTGGCTGGTACCTAAAGTGTTGGTGAAAGATGTATCTGTGCAGGGGAGAACAAGAACTTCTGTAACCAGGTCTACCACACAGACCCTTGCAGTGCAGAACAGCCTTAAGTTTGATGTGACCAGCAGGAGAGAGCCACTGAAGAAATGCAGAAGTGGAGTAATGCGTTTAGTGTTTTGGTCTAGAAAAATTATCTTTGCAGCAGTAGTCTGTTGTCCGAACAGAAATCCACAATAAAACAGCTCAATCGTTTTTATATTGCTGCTGTATTCTTTTGGGTGGAAGAGTAATTTTTATTCGTGACTGATTTTACCCCACCCATCCCTACGAATGTAGTAAGCAAAAAACATCACAGGGTGAGAAATAATCTTCCAAATGAACATGACTAATTTCTCACATAACCCCCCTCTATTCTTATGTCCTATGCACCCACACACTCTTGATAAATAAATGATACATCCAGTTTGTAGTTTTTTTCAAAGAAAAATCTTGGATGGAAACGGTAAATTGAAATATTATCCCACATCTATGTTTAGAAATGCGAGTGTAGAAAACATACTATTTTTTCTTGTGAGTAATCTGTTGCTTGCCTTTAAGTTTCCAGTGATGTCAGAATCATAAAATGAGGTGAGAGGAGGCAAAATGTGTCAGTAGGGCAGTGACTGAAGTCATATTGGACCCAATTTATGAAAAACTCTAGTAGTTCATTCCAGCCCAAAGTGCTGGTCAGATCTGGAGGTTACGTGTGTTTTAAACTGGAACTGTGAACATGCAGAAACAGCACAGCAATTTAGAGTCAGCATCTGATGATCCCCGTGAGTCAGCTCCCAATTATCTACAGATTGCCTGGTTTTACAGATTATCTGTACTAAGGGACCAAGGACAGATTGAGTGTTATAGGGTTTACTAAACTGGGTTCCACACTATCTGAAATAATCTGTACTGTTTCTTTACTACCAGCTTGAATCTAGAAAGACTGACACTGAACAGGGGCAAGTAAATACGACTGGACCCGGGACACCTTTCTCTCAAGAGCACCAAGATCTGGTCTCCACACCACGATCCTTCGCACCACTGTTACTCAAAATTTTCTGTTGTTGGTGCCACAAACTACATAACAATTAGTTTACTGTAATCTGTTTCTTTCTTGGTGAAAATATATACATATGGAAGTATAATAAAATGTTTCAAAGGTTCACTTCGCTTTCTTGTTGTTAACTGTCACGAGTATTCACAGAAGGGAACTTTCTTCACAGAATGTAGCAGATATTAAAAAACTGAAGTCAGTTGGGATCTGCACGATCAAAGGAATCCAGATGACCACAAGACGGGCACTGTGCAATGTGAAAGGGCTTTCAGAGGCCAAAGTGGACAAGATTAAAGAAGCCGCAAACAAGCTTATTGTAAGCCAGTCACTTTCCTGATAGTTTCAATGTATGCTGGCCTTTCCAAAATGCTGTGCAACATTTCTCTTAACAGATTTTTTCACCACACCATCAAGATAATTTTGAAAATTATTCTGCTCATTACACTTAAAGGGATAATACTTTACAACAACCAGACAAGTGCTGTGGTGCTTTTCATACCCAACCTGTGTAAATGAGGAGAGGTGGAGATAAGATGTTCATGTGGAATATTGCACTTTGCCTTCAGGTTAAAGCAACAATAAACCTCTTGTGTTCTCTTTGGTCTTCCTTAGGAACCTGGCTTCCTGACCGCCTTTGAGTACAGTGAAAAACGGAAGATGGTATTTCATGTTTCTACCGGCAGCCAGGAATTTGAGTAAGCTTATTTCTACTTAAATCCTTCCTTATTCCAAATAGTTCCAATAATCACATTTGCTACAGTCTTTAATGAGGCATGAAAATATAAAGGAATAAATATTCAGCTAGGACACGTAGATTACCTTGCATGTGGAGCTAGTGCTGGTTCAAAAACGCCTGCATCAGTAAGCAACAAAACCAACTCCTTTTCTGGGGGGAAACTGGACTTTGTACAGTCATTGTAAATAAACAGAGTTTGCATCCAGAAATCCTGAGCATATCATCATTTTTTTCACCTGGTCAAAACAACCTGCAGGTCTCAGGTCAAAATTATAAGTCTTCAAGACCTCCCTTGAAAAATTTTAATGGAATGTTATCTTCTCAAAGGTACTTTCTCCTTTTATTCCAGTAATAATTTCTATAGATCTTTTTCACACAGAAAGGGAGGTTAAGACAGAATTAATTATTAATGAATCACTGATCATTTAGTGCCCTGAACTTAATGCACCAAGTGAGGGGCTTTAGGGCAGAAATAACTTTTCTTATAGTAGTAAAAATTTCTGGTTTTTACTTTTCTCTTCTGATTTTGTGGATTTAACTATGTCATAATCCTTTCCCTTTCTCCAGTAAACTTCTGGGTGGTGGGATTGAAAGCATGGCAATCACTGAAGCCTTTGGAGGTGAGAAAACCACATTAAATGAGTATTACTGAACAAAGAGTTGCAGCTCAGTTTAGATTTTAAATCAAGCTGGATTAATTCTATCAGATTTATTACATTGTAGTCATAAAGATGAGTATCTGCATGAGTATAAGAAGAAAGAATCCACTTCTCTTTGTGTTTTTCCATTTTTCCTCTTCATTTGCCTGCAGACTAAGTTTGAGCTGAGTAATCATTAGCTTTGGGACATGCTGATTCAGTACAACATAGCATTATCAATAACATTACTGTGTCATATAGGAAAGATTTCCCTGATGCAGTAGGTGTTCCCTTCCAGTAACAAAACTGCCACAAAAGATATTTCATTTACACACACTTAGGATACATCGCATTTTATGTAAGATTTTGAAATGACAATTAAGCTACTATTATAGTAAATTTGATCAGTTACTGGTTAACACTTCAACAACAATAAGGGTTCATAAAACACTGTACTCTTCCCTTCAGGAAAGATAAACTGGAGATTAACATGATTTGATATAATGAGATGAATAAACTCATAAGCTTCTCCTTGATTGTTTTACTGAAAATGAAACTGGGCCAGATTAGTGGAATCAACCATTTCTTCTCCCCCCCAGTTAACACTTTTCCACAAGAGCCATGGGTTTTTTTAACTTCTACACAGAAAAGAATAAATGACCTTAGCAGTCAAGCATGATCAAATTAAAGCATTTCAGATTTTGCTTTTCATGTAACACATTTCTAATGCACCGAATGTGACTTATAAACTGGGGTTAAATGATTTTAAAAGGTAGAGACAGAGATCAGTTTTGATAAGTAGGAGTGTTTCTTACTGCAGTAATGCCTGAATCTGGCAAACTCAGAAAAAAACCCTGACCTTTTTTTTTTTTTTCTCTTTTTGTTTATTTAACAGAGTTCCGGACAGGCAAAACCCAGCTATCTCACACCCTTTGTGGTAGGTGTAATACCTTAGAAGTTTTTCTCAGTGAATCCATTATTCATAACTGTTTCACAATTAAAGCACACAGAGACAAGTCAATCTTTATTATCTCTAGAAATACAGTGAAACAAACCTTGGTGACTCTTCCTCAATTAATTGTGTTTGAGTAGAGAACTCATATAAATGTTTACTTTTTAATACTGCTCATATCAGTGTAAATTTTGCCATAAGGAGAGAAGATGAGAGAGATTGATGTGAAACACACCTCCTGGAAAAGCAGAGCACAAATATGTGTTACAGGTAGATGGGGCATTGCTCAGAAAAGGGCACAGGCAAGATTCATTCTCAGCAACTCTTTTAATTTCCTGGTTTCAAGAGGTTTTGCTGAATATGACATTCTGAAAGGGCACTGAAAGGATACTACTGGCTGACAGTAACTGGATAAACAAGGACTTTGGCAGTCACCGTATTTGAGCAGTGCCAAATACAGCAGGACTCTGATTTCCCAGTGACATCTCTCAATGTGTAAATAGTAGTAGATAATAACTAATATAACTGTAGATGCTGATGGAATATACCAGACACTGGGTAGGTAAACATTCTTTTCAATGAACCCTATACTACAAAGGGAATTATGGCATCTTCTGGAAAAATAAGGCCTCTTCCATTTAGTCCAGTCTAATGGTCAGCAGAGTCATACCCTTTTGCATGAATGACTACAACTGAATTGAGTATTTTAGCTTATTCACTCCAATGAGACTACACCCACAATCAGTAACTATTCACATATCAGGAAAAATTCGTATCCAAAGAACTTTTGATCATATGAGTTACAGCTGTTAAAAAAGCCCTACTAAATCAGTATCACTAATTTGGGCAGGGGATTAAGAGGATGCTTTGTGTGTAAGAACTTATTAATAACATCCTTACCTATTTTCACTATAAAGATGGCACTGAGTAAAACACAATTTTGACACCATTAATTAAATCTCATCTGATCTCCAATTGAGAAAAGTGGCTTGTTTCTTCTCAAGACGGCAGTAAGACTTGAGATACTTGTGATTTCCACATTGATTAAAACTGGTGGCTCTTTGTGATATGGATAAGCAGTCATATTTTATTAAAAACTAATAATAGAGGGAGTAAGAAACAATCTTTCCTGCTTTTTCATTTTGATGTTCTATGATTCACTGTAGTGACAGCTCAGCTTCCAGGACCAAATGGCTACACAGGCGGGAAGATTATCTTCATTGATACTGAAAACACTTTGTATCTTTTAAACTGTTAAAAGCTACAGGTACCATGAACTGGAAAGACAGTTCATTTTGTAATAAGCAAGTAGGAGGCTCCAGATAGCTTCACACATGTAAAACATTATGACTGACACAGAAACCCTGGAGAGCACAGTGTGTAGTGGCCCACAAGGCAGAGACTTTTTTTCTCTGTCATTTCATGTAATCCAACCTGGAAAAAATAGAGTTAGGATACAGATTTTATTTCAACTGTTTTTCTGAGTTCTAATATGCCTCCTCCAGGTGATAGAAGCTTTTCTGTTTACTTCAAGAGAAATTCATATAAGTACTAAACATTATTTTTAACACTTCATATCTGTGGTAGAATGTGCATAAACATGTTTTGCTCATGGCTAAATTCCTAGAGCACAGATGTCCATATGTCAGCCCCCCCCCACCTCAAACCCTAAACACAAAACAACTATCATTGTGAGCCCAAAACTATCTTTAGGGTATGTGGAATAGTGTAAAGAGAAAAAGTCAGTCTTCTCTAGGATCAAAATAAATATTCTCCTCTGGTTTTCCATAGTTCTATTTTGGAATGGAGATTTATTATTTTCAGAGCATGGTTTGTACAAAGAGAAATCCTTAACTTTGACTAATGCCAGCCGACCAGACCGTCTTCGTGACATTGCTGATCGTTTCAGTGTTGACCATGATGCAGTACTTGACAACGTGCTGTATGCACGTGCATATACTAGTAAGACCATTATTGCAAACGCCATGATACCTGTGTTTTTTCTCCAAGGCTCCCATTTTAACAGTTCTCAGTTTATTAACTGGGATTGCCCACTGAGGATCATAAAGAATGTTTTGCTGCTAACAAAAGAAGTTTTGAGTTTGCTTCCATTTTCTGCTTCTGGTGTTGAAGCTCAATATTAGTATCCCAGCTCGGCTGCACTATGTAACGTTTTGCAGCTTGCTGCAACATTAAGTGAACTCTGCCATGTATATGATGAGTGTCAGTAGCACCTCAGTAAGAGAAGCACCAATTAATGTAACCAAGATTGCCTGAATGCAGGCTAATTCTATAAATGCTGTTGAGAAATTCTCTATGATCTTGGGAATGGAACTTTATAGCGACAGCTCTAACACACTCTGTCACAAGACATTGCATTAAAATTTCAAGAAATTTTTAAATGGGACTTTTACTTTGAGACTACAATATGGACATGAATAATATGATTAATACAATTTCTCTGTGTGATTTAATTCAATATTAAATTCAAATGTTTATATTGCTTTTCAGTTCTTAACAAAAAAGTTGTTTTCATGCAGAGTTTTGTTGTGAAGTTCTTCACACCGAAGTTTTGTTAGCTGGGCAAGTGGAAACTGTTGAGTATTGTACAGGTGGCTTGTTATTGGGCACTGGATTTAAAACTGCTGGCAGTGAAAATATAAACAGTGCAGGCATTTAAAGTGGAATTTAAAAATTCAGGCTTTTGTTCCTTCAGAGCTCATTCTGGTCCTAATTTCACTTGGCAACTGTACTTCTCACCAGGTGAACATCAGATGGAATTGCTTGACTACGTAGCAGCCAAGTTCCATGAGGAAGCGGGTATCTTCAAGCTATTGGTACAAGACTAATTTTTTTTGTACGCATACCGCTTTCAGAATAAGTTTTCCTATTTCTTTCACTATATTTACTTATCTAGCATAATTACAATGCAGATCATTGACTCCATAATGGCACTTTTCCGTGTGGATTTCAGTGGTCGTGGAGAGCTGGCTGAACGACAACAGAAACTCGCTCAGATGCTGTCAAGGCTCCAAAAAATATCAGAAGGTAAGGGAAACATTGCAAGGTTTGGAAAATGTGGACTGGAGTTACTGAAACAGTAGCTGTTGGTAGCATGACCACCCAGTAGTCTGAGCGTATTATCAATCAGGCATTGGCCCAGGAGTCTTTCCTCACTTCACACCTCTGTCAGTTACCAAAAAGATTGAACTGATAATATATTATTTCAAGATGACAAATTAAGGAATCTTTAGAACTATTTGACATATAGAGTCTTTCTTGAAATACTGTTGAGAGAAGTCCTAAATGAGAGAATAGGTTATAGAACTGGACATATATCCACCAAGAGAAATTGTCTTCTCCAAATTTCAACAGTCTGAATGCACGAGAAACATGAAGAACAGAAAAAAGGATGAAGGCACAGAGAGATAAAAAAAGCTGTGCTCGTTGCCATGTTCCCTGTATTTTGCCATGCTCTGAGGGATGCTGACAGGGTAAATAGGGTTCCTCCTCTTTGAAGGACTATTGATAAGGAATGAGTAAATGTATTTTCATACAGTAAATACATAAATAAATAACACAAACAGACAAAGGGAGGGAGAGGGAGCTGAGGGCAGGGAATCAATGGAGAAGATGGGAACTGAGAAAGACTGGTTCAGTGGAATTTTGAAAAGTGCTCATTTTTGATGTATTACAGCTGAAGTCACACATGAGCAAATTTAGGCTGTCTCCTGATTAACTCCAACCACCAGACATAAAGAGTATTTGCTTCTCTTTCATTTGAAATTTGAAGTGCTTCGGCAGCAGCCTTGCTTTTACCATAGATGGGAGAATATTTTGGAATTCTTATTGGATACAGTCCACCATCCTTGTGTTGTTTTCTATTGCAGAATATAATGTGGCTGTGTTTGTGACCAACCAGATGACTGCTGATCCAGGAGCAACTATGACGTAAGATAGTTTTTCTCTCTCTTTTTAAAAAAAATTATTCTCTTCTGTATTACATATTTAGTAGAGATGAGAACTGAGATTGTATGGAGCAAGAGGCACCAAAATGAAGGTTCAGATTGGTCATTGGTCCCTCTGGTGTGACGAATCATTCATGGATGACACCTATAGGTTTCTCTGGTTTTGTAATGGGTTTTTTTATGTTTATCTGCTGATTGGTATGATGGCTTCTTTCACTGTGACTTGAACAAAGAGAACAAGACATAAGGAGTAGTGAAAAAGCACCTCATTTTCTTTTGGAGCAGCTTTGAAGTTTAAGGTGTGTATTTCTGAAGCCTCTTGAATTTAATGAGAGGAAAATTATGCCAGCACTGAACATTTGAACATCCTATCTTGAGTCTTAACATCCTATATCTTAAAGTCATTTTTTGATATATTTACCTATTTATTATTCATCACTGAGTTCAACACACCTCATGTGACAGTTAATCACATTCTTAACCTATGAAATTTGCACAGTGAATCATCACAATTTTCTTGCTAATTTAGCTTTCAGGCAGACCCAAAAAAGCCCATTGGGGGCCACATCCTTGCTCATGCTTCGACTACCAGGATTAGTTTGAGGAAAGGGAGAGGGGACCTGCGTATTGCAAAGATATATGACAGGTAAATCACCCTTTCTTCACAGAAAGGAAACTGTTATGAGCAACTGTAAAGTGACAAAGTTCATGGTACTGAAACTTAATAGTTTGACAGCTGACTCACGGTTTCAAACTAGCTACGTTTCTGCATGGTAAGTTGGGAGAAAATCTGAAAGGACAAACTAATTAACAGACTTACAAGTTATCTTGCATATTGCATACATTAAATTATGTAATCTTTCATCATATATCCTACTAGATGCTCAACTCTTAAAGAAGACCATCAAATAGTTTGGTAAGACTGGTGGTCCCTTGGCAGGAAAATTCCAGAGCTGTTAAACTACTATGTTTTGTTGACAAAATTAGTATCATTTTACCTGGTAAGCTGTGGCAGACACAAGTAATTCAAAATCGTACTAGTGGAACTGCATGGAGAGACCAGTGTTTCTGCTCAGGAACTAAGAAATTGAAATGAGAGTTTGCACAGACAGAAACTTTTCTTCCCCTCCCTTGTGTCTGTCATCTTCCAAGAGGTGGATTTCACATTTTCTGATCTTGATAATATTGATCACATTCTAGTTTGCACATAGGTATAAAGACGTTGAAGGTTATAAAGACAAGTTGCTTACACTTAGAACATTTTGGGTACTGATTCACAACTACATTTAACATAGGGAAACCCACAAGGTTCTTCTTTCTTTTTTTCCCCAGCCCCGAGATGCCTGAAAATGAAGCCACATTTGCAATAACTGCTGGAGGGATCGGGGATGCCAAAGAATAGGCAAAAACCGGATATAAATGTACAGCTGAAAAACACCTGGGCAGTTGGGATAAAGATTTGTGCAAGGTCACCAGCTGCCTGGCTGCATTTATATTTTTGGGGAACCATTTCAGATATTTTAGGAGAACATTGGGACGGACACTGTACAATTCAGCTTTACTGATCTTAATAGACTTTTGTTCATTTAGGGTCTTTGCTTTTCAGTTGAACTTTCAGCAGACAAAGATTTCAGAAACAAGCTTGTGAATTGCTCAAAGAATCCTCTTCCCATATTTTATGAAAATCAAAACTGTCCTTTTACATGAGATTAATACACTCTTTTTTAGTTCCTTTCAAAGAGAGTGTCTATGTGGTAGAATTTAATAGTGTGAAATGGAATAAACTCAGTTATAAAATTGACAGAAATAGATGGAAAAGGCAGTGGCAGGAGCAACAGCCCAAGAACTTGATGGACTTCATTTTTGTATTTTTATTTACCATTTTCTACTTTTTGGAGAGAATGTTTTAAAACTGTTCCTATTAAAGTTAAAAATAAATATTACGAATTGGAAAAGCGCTCTGCTTATGTTTGGGTACTTTGAATCAAACACTGCTCTCAGTGATCTCACCGATCCTTCCCGTGAGAGAAATAAACCATGTGCAACCCAACATTTTAAACCCTTTTGTCTAGTTCTCTAAAGAAACGCTTTATATAATTGCTTTGTCAGACTCCTAATATAAGAATATTAAAGATTAATATTAAATAATATTAAATATTACTATTAAAAGCAGAAGAAAACAAAACCAGTGACCAGAGGAGAGCGGCTGGCACCAGTACTTACACTGAGGGAAAGGCAGTTATGACTCGGCTTGCTGAGGGAATGTGCTGCCTGGCCTGCCAGCACAGGCACAGCTCCGAACTGGCCAGAGATGTATGGCACGGAGGGTAAAAGAAGAAGCTAGGAGTAAAGAGAGAACTGGGCAATCAGGGGACAAAATACCAATTCAGTCTGCATCGCCTCCAGTGCTCATGGAATTGTTTGTTTTAAAGTAAACTCAACAATTTATATATTAGACACTTTAAGGGAAGGCCTTATTTTGTCCTCTTGTCTAAACGTGCTAATTAAAATGGGTCTAACTTTGGTGACTGGTTAGAGAGCTTGTCCTCACTGATATGAGAATTTTTTCATTTAGAGTAACTAATGCACATAAGATAACATGAAATAAAAAGGCAGTGATGACTAGAAATTCATCCAAGCCTGGCACTGTAGCCAGGGTTTATCTTCTGACAGAGCTAGAGTGTTTGCCTTCCTTGAGTGGCTTCTTAACGTATCTTTGATATTTTACCTGAGGTAAAGTACTATTTTTCGTAGTGGAGAGAAGTCTAGAGAACCAAAAGCAGGGAGTCTGGCTGATCTAAGCCAGCCAGGAATGGATTAGCCGTTGCCATTTAACCTAACATCTAGTTCTTTGCATAGGCCAGTCTTTCCTGCACTAGGCTTTCATATCTAATGGCCAAGTACCAAGTGCCAGTGAGAGCTTACAGTATCAATTGATTCCCTCCCACCCAGCCACTTAGAAAGGCCCAAGTTTCTTCCAACATTTTATTTTAAGCACCAAGATTGCTTTTCGCCTTCTCACATATGCCATATATACATACAGCAAGTAAAACTAAAACAGTAAACAATCTGTGTCTTGTTCAAGGCCAAGTTATTTGTTCCAAGGGTCTGAAAGTAAAGGGGACTCACTTTCTCCTCTGTCTGTCAACTGATTTTGGATAACTTGACAGCCCAGAAAGCACGGCTGATCGCGCGGCTGTGGTCTGGGCCAAGGCTTGGTTTGGCTGGGGTCCGCAGACCACCCCCTAGACACGGCTTCTTCTGCAGGGATGGTCCGGCTGCCTTCGTGCTGTAGGTGCTTGAGGCCTAAGTACAGCACTGGAGAATTTACAGCCTATGCCATGTAATTGCCTCATGGCTTATTTTATCTTTTACCAAGGAGTCTCTCGGTGATGTGGGCAATCAAATGCTATCAGGCCACAAACACAGTGTTTTAAGCCGCGCCTGGTGTCCCTTTGGGTACTTTGAATCTCTTCAATCACTTGCAGTAACGGCACAGCGGGCAAAAGGGTGAATTCGTTTACTTTCTGGAGAGGTTGCCATGAACCTCCTGCAGCTCTGGAGGTGGCTGTGCGACCGGGGGTCTGTGGCACGATCCACGTTGGCGCCCGTTGTGCCATTTTCTCCCGGCCCTCTGGGGAAAGCAAACATCATGGCTGCTGTCACTCCCGCTCCTGCCCCGGCGCCTCGCCTAGATCCCCCTGATCATCTGCCAGGAACAAAAGCGGAGGAAAAACCCCAACCCACCGGACCCGTGCGGCGGAGGCCCGAGGGGCCGCTTCCCGCCGGGCCGGGCCGCCACCGCCCCGCGCCCCCGTCATTGTCTCCTCAGCCCCGCTGCCTCCCTCCACGGGGCCAACGGGCGCGTAGGCGAAAGGCCGTATTCTCCAAACCCGACTGCGCTGCAAAATTAACGTAATCCGCCGACCCTCCGCCAACCCAGCCGGCACAACCCGCGGAAGAATTTTACGCAAAACGCGCGGGCTCTTCCTGCCCTACGCCAGGCTGAGTTACGCAACTTGCGTACGACATGTACTTACGTAACGTACGCCTCGGCCGAGGTTTTCCCTACTATCCAGAAAGGGTTAGGGGGCTGACTCTTTGCGTAACAGACTTTGAGGAATAGGGAGAGCGTTACTCTCCTCCCTCCCGTCCCCACGCGGGGGCCCGGCTCAAGTCAAGAACACTACGCACTTTTCGTAGCCTGCCTACCTCGCGGAGCAGTGTTTCGTCAGCCGAGTTTAGGGCGTAGTTAGTTTCCGGGAATAGGCGTAGGTATTTTCGAGGGCCGCAGTTTGCGCAGCGCCGGGCCGCCCGTAACGTAACTAAAGCGGGTTGGGGCGGCGGCAGCCATTTTGTGCCGGGAGCCCGGAGGAAGAAGACGCTGGTGTCTCCACACTTCACGGGCCCTGGAGCCGACCGAGAGCCCCGCCGTTCCCTCCGCCGACGTCCAGCGGGTCTCTGACCCACTGACCACCTCTTCTCCTTTTGTATCCCACCAAAGAAGCGAGGTGGCGCAAAGCGATTCCTCCGAGACACAGCCGCCCCTGGCTGGACCGTCTCCCCGTACCCCCAGTCCCTCGCCGTCCCCACGGCCGGCGTTCCGTTGCCTTTCTCCCACCCCTCCGGGTGCGATGAGGGGCTTCGGGGACCGGGGCCGCGACCGAGACCGCGGCGGGTAAGGGGGGGGGGGCAGGTCGGGGGGGGGATTGGGGGCGGGGGGGGGCGGTGGAAAGAGCCGTCTGCCCCACGTTGTGGGGCTGGTGGGAGGAGTCGTGGGGGCGAAGGGGCCGCGTTCCGCTTGCAGTATTGGGGGAGCTTTTTTCCCAAAGAATTCTCCTGTGGGGGTGGGGGGCAGCTGGGGACTTCTATTAGTATGGTTCTGGCAGCAAGGCGGGGTGGTGGGTTGAGGTTGGTTTTTTTTTTTAATCTAGCTTTTCCATCGTTCATGTGTAACGGTGTGTGCCTTGCTTGCAGTTTTAAGGCCTGCTTTTTCCTTCCCCCCCCCCCCCCCCCCCCCAATTTATTTTCTGCCAGCCCTCTTCTTTCCCCCACTCTCTCCGTCCCCCCCTGCCCGAGAGCCGTGAAGGCCTTGGTGGCCCTGGCAAGGTTGGTTGGATGGTCTGCCCTTCTGCTTGTCATTGCTCCTTCTGGACTTAGTAGGAAGATGGCAGTTGGTGAAAGATCTTTCTCAGTTGCGCTCCCAGGCTTATCGTGAGGGGAAATGAGATTGAAAACTGCTGCCGTGCAGGGGGCTTGCATACTCGAGAGGGTGATCTCAGTAAACATGGCCCTGGACCACACTTAATGAGCATGAGCAAGCTTACGTAGCAGTCAAACAAGAGTTGTCTGTGTGGCACTGCAGAGGCCTAGTGCTTGATATTCCTGAATCTGCTATTTAAAGGAAGCTTGGCTTGGAAAAGGTTTTTGCAGGTTTGATTTCTTGTTTTTTTTTTTGTTTTTTTTTTTGTGTGTGTGTGTTTTTTTTTTTTTGTTTGTTTTTTTTTCCCTTCCAAGTATGGCAGTAATAAATACAAGGGCATTATATTATAGTATATAACTAGTATGAGACTTGAGGTTTTTTAAGGGTTGAAAGTAAGATGTTCATCCCAGGCCTTTTTAAAGAGAAAGTTAGAACTAATTTAGGAGACTGGCATTATCTGTCCTTTAGATCACAAGCAGTTAGGCTTCCATTCTCAAGGATTAACAACAAACATATCATGTGGCTTCTGTTATTCTAAAATATGGCTGACTAGATCTCTGTAATGAGTCTTCTTCCCCCTTCCCCGCCTCCCCTCATCCTTGTCTTTTCTTCTTCCCTCCCCACTGGGAGATTCAGGAATGTTTTGTTACATGTTGCAATGCATTTTAACATTTAGTTTCCCATTGTCCGTGGAGAGAGATAGTTGTGTCCTTGCTTTATCTTACACCCACATTTCACGCTCTGAAATTAAAAGATACTTTCATTTTTTTTTTCCACAGAGAGGAGGGTTCTGATGTTTTTCCACTGTGAGATTTCCAGCTCAGTTTAACACAAGGACATTGGAGTAGACACTTTGGCAAGTCTGAGATAGTTCAGACCCCAGCTGTTTTTGGAGTTTAGTGAGTTTGAGTATGCAGACTTATATACAGTTACTAAGAACACTGGCCAAAGCATTGTCACAACACTTGGCGTGCCTTAAAATTTGTGTAATCTCATTTTGTGTAAACATTTTGATTATAAGTGGATGCTTCTCTTTTAGATCAGGAGTTTTGCATAAGTAAAAGGAGTACCTACATGCTTCTTTGTGAAGTTTTTGGATATTTGCATGGAGAATCATTTTCTTGGCAAATGATTCTGGAAGTTTTAATGCATCAGGGTTCAGTTTGTTATATACATCTATTTAAGGTGTGAAAATATTTGTAACTACTGACAGCCATCATACTTAATGTAACCTCTGTAAAATTTTGGGCCACCCAGCGTGCTGGTTAAGTGCAATTTGAAAGTTTATCACTTCCACAGTGCTGGTTCTTTCATAGGCTAAACAAACACAGGCTTTCTCTTCCTG